ACAAGTTATAATCAAAGTACAAGGGAAAAGCTATCTTCAAGGTTGTGCAGAATTTATTATTCTTTTGGTTGCATCAAACAGCTGAATTAAGCTTTCTTGTTAAATAAATCATGAACTTTAGGATTTTAATATTTTACAAGTTATGGGTCATATTTTCTACTCCCAGCTCCAAAATGGCAGGTGAGCCCCAGGTGGACGGGGGAAGCGTTTCAGTGATACCCTCAAGGCCTCACTGGCAAAATGCGGCATTCCCACAGACACCTGGGAATCACTGGCCCAAGATCATCCAAAGTGAAGGAGCAGCATCCAGGAAGGCGTTGAGTGCCTTGAGACTTGCCACTGGGGAAAAACGGAAGCCACACTAAAACAGTGCAGGGAATGTGCTGCCACACCAACACCCCACTCACCTCTTCCCATGACCACCTTCTTCCCCAAGTGTAACAGAGTCTGTGGTAGCCGCATTAGTCTGTACAGTCACCTATGGACTTACCTGGAGAGTGGAAGAGAATCATCCTCATCTGTGAGGGCCTGCCGATGAATGAACGAATATTTTCAAGATACAATTACAGTTCATGTCAAACATTCTCTGGTTTATACAGCCAAGGGTTTTCACGTGGTATCCAACCCTTCAATGCACTATGATGTAGGCGTAGGAGTGTGGGTGAGGGTTTAAATGAGGACCTTTCCAGCATTGAGCCTTTGTGGCAGCTTCCCCAAGCATCTTTCAGCACACTGTCAAGAACCTTGGAATGTGCCAGTCTGTGATACTTTTGGAAGTTTTGTGAAGACCAGCGAGTGTCTTTCACCAAGTTGTTTTGCCCCCAGCAGCAGTCGATGTTTATCTCAGCATGCATCAATGGGAACAGCCCATAAAGTACTGAGTCTGAATTATGGAACTAATCAAAGTGAACCTCAATGCTTTGTTAAAGGATGCTGAAAAAGTGGGAAAGCCATTAATTCAAGTCTTAAAGCTTTAGGACATCTGTTGGTCATTGATATAGTATTAAAGAACTAAGTACTCGGGTGGATTTGTAACCATGATAATGGAATCATTGGGAGAGATTGATCAGCATCAATCTCTCCCAATGATTCCATTATCATCAGCATCAATCTCTCCCAACGATTCCATTATCATCAGCATCAATCTCTC